CTGCTTTCATCATAAAAGATCTGCCAGAGCTCTGCTTGAAGCTCAAGGGGGCTGCTGAGGCAGCTTGGTGAGTGCGGTTTAAGCGGGATACCTGAAAAACTTCCTTTTTTTCTGGAAGCAGCATCTTGCTAACCCAAAACCAAACAGCCTGCAGAATCTAGATAATTAAAAACCCTCCCTCTCGGTGGATGACTGGCTAAAATTACAGCTTTGGAGGAAATTTTCTGTTCTTGCTTACGAGCAAGTTGTGACGTCTTTGTCAGACCAAGCGGCGTGTGGGCTTCTGGCAGTGGGAAGCGCTGCTTGCGGCTCGGCGGTGTGGCTTCCTAGCCAGGCTTCCAGACTCATCCCAGCTCCGTGAGTCAATTGCTTTGAAAACGTTTCCTCATTTAGTGCAAGGTCGAACTGCATCTGGCACTGCTGTAGCTGTACTTACCTATAAAAATAGAAGGGCATAATTTGCTGGAAGTGTTGGATGTGGGAGTGAAGGGAGCAAAACATCTTTGGAATTGCCAAAATTTTTTGAGAAGTCGGTTCTTCTTGCAAGACTAGCCATCAGTTGTGACAAACAGTGGGGATGATGCGACGTGTTCCCTTTTTCATGACCTTTTTATGTTCAAGGAGAATGGGATCTTCATCGTGGCATTTCTGAGGCTTTCTCTGTCCCTTTTCACTTCTGCTTCAATGTCATGTTTTGAAACCGAAGGAGACTTCAGAAACTCAAAACAGGGGCAGGCAGGTGCTGCCTACCAGCTCGGAGCATTTTAAAATCTTGGGAGAAATGGCTCACAGATACAGATAATTCTGTTGCAGAATGTAGGTGATAGCAGTGTCATGTTTGATCAGAACCTCTATTATTGTGTGTATTGGTGGTCCCTAGGCAAGACTCAAGTTACTTTTTTCACTGAATGCAAGGAGTTGAGGAAATAGACGTGGAACAATATGAGTTTCTAAATCTGTCACCTGTAACGGATTGATGTAACAGGGAAAACCAAAAAGTCTCTTAAGATGCCTTCAGTTAAGTGTGGGAAATCTGTAGGATAGCAGGAGTAAGATGCTGCTGTGCTTAGGGTTTAGAGAGGAAGGAGGATTTCTCAGTAAGGTAACGATTAAAGGGATAGTTAACTCACAGTGCTGAGGCATAAATCCATGAAGATGGTCTTTGGTTCAATAATCAGAGAGCTTCTAAACTAGTAAGATAGCTTAAATAATGTTTGCAGCAGCATTTACAACCAGACTTCCCAAGAGCAAAAGTGTTCTATAGGGAGTTTGGCTTAGAGAAGCTGTTTTCAGTTGTCGAGTGCCTGAACTTTTGTTTGTATGAAGGAGCGTATGACCGTGCGTGCAGTTAACTGACTTCACATATGGTGAACTGCATAAATGCATGGAATTCGGATAATTTATTGCCAAAATTGCGGATATTTCCATAGCATGCGACGACTAGCAGCCTGCATTTATCCTAATTACTTTTCCTTTTGGATGCCTGCCTGCCTCTTGTGTGAGCCCATTTCCTGCTGTCTTAAGATGGCTGTGCTGGACTGGAGAAGTGGTGATGGTGCAGGTCAGTGTGGAATGGCTTATTTGGAGTAGTTGATGAGACCAGATTGTTTTGTACTCTGTTCTTACAGCTTTTGCTGGCTTAAGGGAGGAAACCCTCTGTTTCTCAGAAGGGTGTAGCAGCGATTAAGTGATATTTAATGATTTCTCCAGTGCGTTGTGCGTTCTCCTGCTTCCTTGACCACAGAAGATACCTGCAGAATACTCAGCAGATCTGTGATGACTTTGGTTTGTTATCTAGCAAGCCCACTATCTGGGGTGGATACAAGGTGATTTCTTACCCAGTGTGTTCTCAAACGGATGTAGGGAGTACTTTCACGGTGCTTTCCTTGTGCCTAATTCTCAAAACCTCGTCCCTTCTATTGGCTTAGCTTTTTTGCTAAAATCCAAACAATTTCTTGGTTTAGTTATTTCATAACCTTCTTACCTTGTTGTATGTTTCTGTACCATCTTCTGCTCCTGAACAAATATTTTGGCCAAAGCTCTAAGTGAGGTGCTGCCCTTCGTGATCTGAATCCTCTGGGTAAGTGTTTCTTACCTGGACAGAGCTTGCCTCATGGCTCTTGGGGAGCTGCGTGTACCCAGCAGTAGTCTCTGTAATAAGCTTTTTGATTTTTGCGGAGGCCAACTGCACCAGACCAGTTACAGCAGTTAAGTTCTTCAGTCTTCATCATTGCGTGAAGATTACGGTATTGCCCAAGAGAAGCTGCTGCATGTTGGATTTTGAAACACGACAGAAGGAGGATTTACTTTTTAGTAGCGAGGGGATTCTATGTAAGCAATAGTGAGGGGAAGGAGTATCTCATTTTCCGTTCTTTTTTATGATGCATGAATGACCTGAGCTTTGGAGTGGCAGTAAGTCTGTGGAAACTTTGGATTTGCTGTTTGTGAAAGGTTTAGGAGTTGGTTTCACTCGTTGGGTAGTTACGACTGAGCGAAAGCTAAATTGCGCAACTCAGCTAGGAAGAGCTGTGCTTGTGTTGAACACGTGCTGGTTTTCTTCTGCTTACCCTGACAGGTGTGGGTAGATAAGGAGACTGGTCTCTCTTGCTCTTCAGTTGTTGGCCTGCTGCCTTGCGTCAGCCCTGTCTGTGCAGCCAGACACCAAAGCAATTGCCAGATGTTTTAAGTTGTGTTTTTGCCTTCAATGTTGGCATAGTGGCTATAATGTGGAGGTGTTCCTGAAGAGAAAAACTTGAGTCTCTTCAGTAGTCAATTAAAAGATTTGGTTAGTTGGTGGGGTTTTTTTCAGTTGCTTTTCCTTTGGAGCTGGTTTGAACCTGGCCTGGCTACAGATGCGGGTGGCTGGAGGGGTGGGAGGTGAAGGGAACTCCCTAAGCCACAAAAGCATCTCACTCCCACTGGGAGGCAATTACTTTATTTAAGATGTGGATCTGATAACCTTGCAATGCAAATGCCACGGTGTATGTTAGAAATGTCCTGAAACAGAATGTACAGGAGCCAGGTGTTGGCTCTTCCTGCGTCTGGCTCATAGTTGCGCTCGGTAGCTGACTGCATTACCACTGCTCTGGTGTCTGTGGGAGTGCTGAAATGTCTCATCCCATGATCCCAATTAGTTAAAGCCAATGCTTCTTCATGACAATTAGAAAATAGGATCGCTCCGGAGGCCTACAGGAGGGGAAGGAAGCTGCCTCTCCTTTGTAGCAAGTGAGAGCTGGAGTAGTGCTGGGACAACGGAAATCTGTAATCAGCCGGTCTTATGTATCTGATTTTGTTCAATACTCAGAGATGCACCTGTGAAGATGTTACCTGCCCAAAAGAATGTGACGAACTCATTATTTGTCTCCACTTTCAGGAGGATTTATTCTTTCATTGCTCTTGTTCAGGTTTAAGCTGAGACTTAATAAACTCGTAGGCAATTTTGTCATATGCATTTTCTCAATCACTTATGTGTTTTGGAAAGAACTTTTTTTGTGTGTGTGCTTGGTGGCTGAGAGCTGTTGGTGTTGAGAGTTACAGAAACAAGTCATCTTACTACTTTTCTCTTTATGGCTGTAGTGGCGCGGTACAGAAAATGAGATGCAGAATTAAGTTTCTTAGAGTGCTTCTCTGTGACAGTGTAGCTACGTTAGCAATGCCCCAGAGATAAGCTACAACCTTTGCATGTTCAAACATGCAGTTAAAATATTCAGTGAGCAGGGGAGAACCCTTATATCCCACTTATAAAAATTTCCATTAGGTCCTATAGAGAGATAGTGTGAAATTGGCCAAGTCTTTATATGAAGAAATGAGAACTGGATAGTATTAGTAATGAAATTTCTGCCTTTAGGATTTCACATCTTTATACTTTCACTGGAATTTGTAGCTCAGTTTTCCTTTTTGGACAGAAGTCTTTTCTCAGCTCACAGGCTGAAATATTCACAAATATTGTTGTGTTTGTCACTTTCCTGCAAATATTTTATGTCACATGTCATGTTTCTGGTGTGTTAGGGGTTAATGTGTCGTCCAGGCTCATTGCCAACATTTAAAAATTGGATGTCTGAACTTTCTTCCAAGTCGGTTTAAGCTTTTCAAACAAATTTATGGGTAAGAAAATTATTTATGTGCAAGTTGTAAAAGTTTTCATCCTTATTTCTTGCCTGACTGGTGAACTTGAACGGTCTGTATGCTATGTGACACAGAATGTTTGTGCCAAGTGTGGAATTGTATCAGTCTTCAGCACATGTTTGTATATTTTTTTGAGCACCTGTATTTTAACAACTGGGTTCCCAAACGATACTAAATACTGGAGAAGTTACTTTATGTTAGCAGCTAAGATAATCCTAAGAATCAACTAGGCCTGTAGAAAATATGTTTTCCTAAATAACAGCAGCATGATTTTTTAGGAATGAACAGCAACTACTAAGTTATCATCTGTGATTGGAATAGCCAGGGGTCTGAACAGATTTTACCCACCCTCTTACTGCACTTGTGCAGGTTGGGTGACATTTCATGTCTCATGAAGGTGGGTGTTAGATAAAGACCACGTTTTTTTCTGTTAAACAGGATCTTTAATTCCCATGACAAGCTTCATGACTGGATGGTAAAGAAGGTTTCTCTTTGGCTGGGCTGCTGTGCTTTGTATGTGGCTATCCAGACTGTGGGGAAGGAAATACTTTTGGTCCTGACTTGCCCGTGACCACGTTTTCCCCAAGAGGGAAAAGGAGTCTGAGCATTCCTAAGTGTCTGCTTAGCTTAACATGAGGGTGAGCAGATGAGAAGGCAGGATAGAGGAGAATCATTTCATTGTTTGAAATGACAGATCAAAGTACCTGTTAGCTTTACATCTCAGTTTTTGTTAAATACCTGTTTTCAGCATGAAAATAAACATCCGGGGAAAGAATTTTATGTTAATTGTGTGCTTAAGTGGAATTTGTCCACTCCTTTACTTTTTCTTTTGTTTGCCACAAGTTCTCTAAATATTTCCTCTCCCTTTCACACAGCGGTAGTCGCTCTTCCAAAACCTTCAAACCAAAGAAGAATATTCCAGAGGGGTCTCACCAGTACGAGCTGCTAAAACATGCTGAAGCCACGCTTGGGAGCGGTAATCTGCGAATGGCCGTTATGCTTCCAGAGGGTGAAGACTTAAATGAATGGGTTGCAGTTAACAGTAAGTCGACTGACTTTTTTTTTTTTCGGTTTTGAATGTGGACTGGCACTTGTGGGAGGACAACAGCACGCTCATTTCTAGTGGGGTAGTGAGAGGCGAGTGTGTCATGGCATTTAGAGTGACAGATGCGGAGCATCTCACGGAGAGAAAAACTCCTTCATCTCCTTGTGCCAAAAATATGTTCCTGTTAATACAGAAATTGTTGTTTTCAGTGGTTAAATTCCAAGCACTTGATCACAAACGAGTGCTGAAGTAGAAGAATCACTGCTGGTTTTAGAATGTAGCCTGTTAGTGCCACCTCAAGGTGTTTAATCCAGCTCTCTGTCAGCTAGGGTTGTTGACCATGGGTTTAGTCAAGCCTCTATATGCTAAGAGTAAAACCTTAGTTAACTAGTTCAGTGTGAGGGCCTGGTGTATAAGATGCTGAAGACTACAGTCACATGTACGGCCTAGCGTTACATTTGCCTGTAAGAAACTTGGAGATGGATCTTTCCAATTCTCCTCAAGTTAGTTCCTTTGCTACGAAGTTGTGAGATGTTGCTCTGGTAAGTCGCTGGTATCGTGGTTTTAACTTCCTCTAAAGCTGTTTGGCTTAACTCTCTCCTTTCCTGTTAGGTCAGGTCAAACTCTGATGCCCAAATTTTTTCTCTTTGCTTGACCATGTTTCCTCCTCCTTCCTCTCTTTCTGCTGCATGCCTTTGTTGCCTGCCTTCTGCTCCTAAAGAATGGATTAACTCAAGTCCTATCATGCTCTGTAGCTTGTGCAGAGTTTTGGATGCCACAGACTCCGTGCCATGTCTGGGTATTTCCTTATCTTTTGTGTCTTTGGCTCAGCATGCTTCCACGATTGTACAGTATTGATTGTGTGCTGCAGTGCAGTATAAATTATGCTCAAGAAAAATGTCTTATAATTATGTGGCTCTTACTATTTCTTCTTGCTCTTTGACATGCTTGGGAAGTGAAACTGTTTTACTGACTTCAACCTTCCGGTGCTTACTTAGCCACACGATGCTCTAGTATATAGCTTGCCACCGCTTCCAGGGAGTGTTGAAATTGCTGACACCATTCTTTGTAAGAGTTATTCATGCTGTATTGCAAAACTGTCTAGAAAAGAAGCCAGCCCATTTTTATGAGTAAGCATTACGCAAGCAGCTTCCTATATTGCTGGCATCCTTCCCTTTTGGCTGCTCCTCCGCTTGACGTCTCTTGTGTCCTCTGTGGCAGCAGTGTTCTTCCCTTCCCAAATGACTTCACTGCTGAATTAGCTGGGTGGCAAAAGGCAGTCAAGTGCTTCACAAAAAGGACTGAAGCACTTCTGGCAGCAGCTGCATTTGTAAAGGAGATGGTCTGCTTTGATGCCTCCTGCAACCAAGCAGGTTTTCCATGTTTATTTCTGCTTGTCCAGAAGTGATTAACTGATTGTCTGCTCATCCCTGTACCACACCTAGTACCAGTTAGTGGTAGCTGTGAACCCTTCTGTTGTTTGAGATGTCTAGTGAGGATATCATCAGTTTTGCTCTTCACAAAAGTGAGAGAACAGGAACAGATGTGCTTTGCTCCTTTACTCCTTATTAACTCTTTGCTTTATTGATGTCTAGATTTCTCAAACGTGTTTTAAAAATACCAAAAGGAGAGAAATAGATACTCAGATTTGAGTTTCCTTTGAAATCTCCTTGATTTCCAAGTCCTAAAAAAATAATTTGAGAAGTACATCTTGCCCATCTTCGTAATAGAACACCAGACAGTGGGCTCTCCTTAAAGTAGAAAAACACTTGGAAAAAATAATCTAAGCCCTGGCCACATTAAGAACAGTGATAAAAAGAGGAAAATGAAAATATGCTGAGACACTGAGCAGCTTTACATGGAGGTTCTTGTGTTTTTCTTCTTTGTTACACGCTGCTCTTGTTGGTGGATGGGCACTGTCTGGTGGCCTTTCGAGACTTGCAAGTGCGGGATTCACAGTACTCAGTCATCTTGTCAAAGTCTGTGTGGGTTTTTTGAACACGCCTGCCTTGAAGCAAACATTGGGCTCTGGTTTCTGCTGGGAGCAAGGAATGCACACTTGATTAACGGTTCTTGTGTATGCTTAAGAAACCAGGGCAGTGTATAACCAATTCTTGCTGCCTTTGGTGTTAACTGCCTACTCCCACTGCCCAAACAAGCCTTAGGAGTTCTGGTTCTCTGAAACTTTTTTGTCAGCCTTTCGTAATGTTGTTTTACTGGTTTCTGCTTTTGCTGGGGAAGGGGGAATAGGCATGCCGTACCAGTTCTTATTTGCTTCCCTTTTTTGTTACCTGGCAAGTTGCATGACACAGCTGTAGCGGGTATCCTGCATTGGCTGAACAGTAGCTGTAAATTAATGCAGTAATGTTTGTGTGACCTCTGGTGTTTCTTCTCTGGAAAAATCAGTGAGGGAGGCTGCAGTATTTAACTCTTCCTTTCCTTCAGCCATCAGATATTTTCATGGTCCATGATATCTGCTAGTGCTTACATTATGGACATCAAAGTCATTACAGCAAACCTGTCTTACCTCCAATAATAATTAGGCAAGGAACAGATTTGGGTGGGTACCAAATCATCTGCTGGCTTCTTCTTGGCGTGGCACTGAGTTGAGAGGAGTTTAGTGTTGGTGTTAATTCCACCACGTCCTGCAGATTTGTGCTATGAGACTCTTCAGTGTTGCAAGTCGTAATTCATTTTTAAACTAACTTTTTGAGACAGAGATGTCTGTCTGGCTATCGTAGAGGCTGGTCACAGCAAAACCTTTTTTTATGGCATCAGTATGAAGCACTTTGTCACCTGAACGTTAAATTGATTAATGCATGGTTATCTAGTGACATGTCAGTACTGCTGTTAAGGGGCTTTATTAGACTATTCTTACATCTCTTTCAGTGAAGAAACAGTTGGTCACTGGCACATAGAACGGCAGGTGTGACTCAAGTGGCACTGAAGTAAAGTAGATTTGAAGTGATGCTGAGCTCAGGTTGTGTACTAGTTTCTCATCCTGCTCTGCAGACATGTAGCATAAATGAAGGTTCTCAGTGTGAAGGGTCCTGTTCTCAGAGGTGGCAGGCCCAATGCGTTTAGCAGCAGAGGCAGTGTAACTGGGCCATTAAACCCGGTGATGTGTTCTATGTGGTCTCTTCGAGGTTAAGGGTGTGTCGGTGGAATGGGTTAAGTAGGACTTGAACTCAACCACGCTTGATTTGGGTTTTTAGGATTGCTGAATTTCATCCATGCATAAAAATGGATGAGTAAGGGCACCGAAGCTAGTTCCTCAAGTCTAAAGTTCCTGCGTGTTTGTAGAAGCAGAATTTAACTGTTGCACGACACAGGAGACAGGAATATGGAGTAAAACTTATCCTGGAACCATGTAATGAACTTAGTTGTAAGAATTTAACCCAGCCTACTTAAAATTCTATTTCCTAGTGCTTAATATTAGTCATGTGTCAGTTTTTACTCATGACCTGGATAATGTGCTGTGCTCCCCATCGAACTTTACGGGGACGTTCATTTAGGGGAGATGAAGTGGATTGTACAAACTGATTATAGGGACCACAGTTCTTAAAAACAGAACCTGAGGTTATTGAATAAGAGCCTTGCTTTCAAAGAATTATAGTTAATCAAGCACATATTGAAGTATTAAGAACTCTTGAGAATATTTAGATGTGCTAACTTTTTGTGTTCTTGCTCAGTAACTCAATTGTAGACCATTAAATAAAGTTTTTTGACTGAGAGAACTGTTTTCCCAAACGCATAACAAAACTTAAGCAATAATCTCTGAGAACAAAACTCTGATGATAGTTTGAAATGAGGGAACGTTGTGGTGATAATCTAAGGAACAGAAGTTGCTTGGCCTTGTAACTATTCCCACGTCGTGACTCTTGCACCCATTTCCCATAAAGGTGGTGTTTGACCATAACCTGAGTGAAAGAGGGTAGATTTAGATAGGATGCAAGGACAAAATTCTGTTTTTTGAGGGTGGGGAGACACTGGAACAGGCTGCCAAGATAAGTTGTGGCAGCCCCTTCCTTGGAGGTGTTCAAGGTCAGGTTGGAAGAGACTTTGATCAACCATGGGAGGGGAGTTGGAACCGGATTATCTTAAAAGATGCCTTCCAACCCAAACGGTTCTGTGATTCTTGGAAGTGTTTTTTAAAAAGATAATCTTTTGGAATACAAAGCCCAAGGGAAGACAGTGTCACCTAATGAGTAACAGCACTCTCTGCGTGGAGAAGTCTTGAATTCTAGATTTGCCAGTAGAATTTGCGATTTTAATGAAAAACACCAAACTGTCAGAGAAGGAAATAACTGGGCTTTCTCTTTGCCTTCTTTTCTTTCAAATCAAGATTCTGCTGCAGCACACAATTAAATAGTTACTGCCAGAGGCTGTTCGACAAAATTGATGGCTGCATTCTGCATCTCCTTTATAGTACATCTCAAAAAACAGTAACAAGTTTGGGTTTTTTTTCTGAAAAAAAGAGTATTCTAGGACCCTGTTCAGCAGTGTGCACTTTATTGTTAAGGTTGTAGGAAGTTTTTGTGCCTTTTCACTTTAATTGATGGTTTAAATGCTTTACAGCTGTCGACTTCTTCAACCAGATCAATATGCTTTATGGAACCATTACGGACTTCTGCACAGAGGAGAGCTGCCCTGTGATGTCTGCTGGCCCAAAGTAAGATTATTTTTTACAAAGTGTTGAGAATATGTGAGTTTGTAAGTGATTTTGGTTTTCAAAACTTGAGAGTAGCCCAGCTGCATGCTCCAGATAAGGTAACTTCTGTGCATGCAAGGGATGTCGTCTTGTTACCTGTGGAGGGGGAAAAAACTGGACCTCTAAGGGAATGGGGAACATAAAGGTGGTTTTTTTGAAGTGCTTTTTAGTTTGATTGGTTTTGTGGTTTTGAGTTTTGTTTAGACTGTGTAGTAAAGGATTATCAAAACTCTTCTTCCCTTTTTAGTTTTTTTTTTCTCTGAAATATTATTGAGAGTTTCTTAAATTAAAATTTCAGGTTTTTATATGCAAGTGTTAAGCTGAGGCTTACTAAAATCATTCTTTTAGGTGTTTGAGTAGGTATTGTAGAAATAAATTTGGCTGCAGCTTTTAGTAGCGGGGATAAGAATCCCCTTCCCCATCCCACTGTTAGCTTTCACTGTTTTCTGTGTTGCTTATGCTTTTATACAGATGTCCAGCTTCTTTTTTCTTGCTCTGTAGCTACTTAGTGTTTTCAAAAGTGGAAAATAACCTGTCTTTCTAAGCAAAAGGTGAGAGGGCCCAGCTTCCTTTCAAATTGCCGTAAAATATTAAACAATCAAGGAAAACAATTCTCTCCTCAGATTCCTCCTTCTTTATAATGACATTTGTTGTTAGAGTATCAAAGCAGTAATTGCCAGCCTGTGTGGTGGAGAGCTGGGGACATGCAGAGGGTGCTGCTGCGAGGGCAAGGCAGGAGCTCGGCAAGGTGGAAGCAGCCAAACAGCCCAGGAAAAGCTTTGGGGCTACGTTATTAAACTGAAAGTGGACGCTGCTGAATGCCAAAACCAGTGTGAGCAGGCAGAGATGCCGCTGCGAAACGGGGAGGGGTGAAAATAGAAAAGGGATAGAAGTTCCCCATTATGCGCAGGAACTTTGGGATAAGCTCGTGCAGTAACGTAGCTCGTTGTCTGCTTTGTGCTTTGGCATGCAGAGCAGACTCTTACTTATTTAATAAGAGCATGAAAATATTTCTTTTGCTGTATTGTTTGTCGGCTGAGAAGCAGTTATTTGGGGGTGGAGGTTAATTATTAAAGACTTAGTGTTTGGTTGCCAAGCGAAACAATTTATTTCTCTCCAAAGAGACTGATAACCCTTGACAGAAATACATTTTGTACTCAAATAGTTACAAAGCAGGGCAGGAAAGAGATCCTAGAGGATAGAAGATCTGTTCTGCCAAGGGTTTAATTAGGTTTAATCTTGTCTCTAAGATTTGTAGAGCATTTCTCAAACTCTGCAGCTCCCACCTCAGGGATGGATTTCACAAAGGAATTGAAAATGGATGCGTACATGAACAGCTGAGGCCAGGCAGGTGCAGGAACTGGTGGTTTGAGTCTGGTGGTGATGGGCAGCAGAACATATTCAGTGGTTTGGGGTGGTTTTTTTTGAGTGGTGCGGCTGGCACTACTTTCTTTTCTTTCCAGAGGAGTACTTCTGTAAAAGCTGTCAGCACGAAGGCTGTATTTTTTTGTTTCTTATCTCTGTTTCCTGTTCTTTTCTGGCAGAAGCTATTTTAGGTGAGGAGGCATTCAGTCCTGAGTGCTCGTTAGTGCTCCCAGGCTGAAGGTTGTTCTCTGCTGAGCTCCCACCAGTATTGCTTCTGCATCTCTTTCAGACAGAAGGGTGTGAGTTAGCTAAAGCAACTTGCAGAAGGTTGTTTGAAACAGGTTTAAGCAGCCATAGCATGAGTACCTGGAGATAACCAAAAGCACAAGCCCTCTATGGCTCTTAAGTCTGATTTTAACATTCCCACCAGAGAAGTGCTTATGGTCAATGTATTAAAAAAGTTGTTGTGGTTCAGTCAGGATTTTCGTGCCACAGCTGACAAACTTGGAGCAGTCTTGGAAAAATGAAACTAATTATCGCAGATGAGAGGGTAACCAGAGCACAAGTGTGATGTTTCCTGTATCGTCTGCCTGGTACTGGTATTTTGCATTCAAAACTCCTTGAAAAGGAAAAAAGACACTTTGCAGTACATCAGCCATCTAGCTTCATGTCTTGTCTTTCTTTTTGTGGTTTATTTCTCATACAGGGAGGTCTATCTTCTCTAAAGGGCTGTTTTTAAGTAAATCACTTAGTTTTTTTTCTGGCCTTTGTTGGAAAGATTGCCGACTTAGCTTTTATCAAGGTCTTAGTATCTGGGGTTAGTTAAGGAATGCTGAAAATATCAATAGCGCTCTCTTTCTTGTTGTGCATCTCGTCCTTTAACAGTTTGGCAAATGTATCGGTTTGCCTTGTTCCAAAACACGATTACTCCAAGTGATGTTCCGCTCTTTTCAGTTCAAAGACCAAGCATTTCTTAGCCAAACAAACCCTGCTTGGTTATCGCTTCTTGCTGTGTTTGTATCAGCTGCAGGATTCCCGTCAGTGCAACAGGCATGGTAGCAAGTTAAGAACCTGCACACAACGAATGTGTTGGTTCCCCAGCATTGCGTGAGGGCATTTGTCTTTATTTTCCTCCCTAAGTCTTCAACGAGAGCACCGAGGGGGGAAACGGCTGCTGCGTTTTTCAGAGCTGGATGTCTCAACTGCAACTTCAAAATTCTTCTTTAGCCATTTGTGTGAGTGCACTAAGCCCACCTGAAATGGCAGCGAGATCCGTCTGATTTTTCCTGATTGATCCTCAGTGCTTCTCTCTTGAAATGGTCGAGTCAAAAGGAGCTGGGCACGCCAAAGCGGCCGGCTCCCGTAAATCCCAGATGGCCGTAGTTTGGTGTAATTGAATGTTCTCTTGCTGCCTTCTGCCCAGCAACAAAATTAATAAAGTGTGTAATCAGGCCCTTGGAATATCCTGTCTTGTAGCAATATCAATCCTTTTGCCCTTCTGTGACTCTGGGCTCTGTGCCTGTGGCACTGGATGACTGAGGGACAAAGAGTATTTTTCAGCAGTCTTGATGTAATAGTTTTGCTGAGATTTAGAGGTATGTCCACATAAATGCCTAGGACTCTTGGAGAAGATTTAAAAGATTCTTACCAAGCTGCTGCGTTTTATTGCTGTTGGACAATGTAACAGCCTTAGTTTTAGTCAAGCTGTTTCTTGTATTACTTGGGTTTTTTGCAAGTGTGCTGTAGAGGAGCTGGTCCTATGATCCTTAGGGGTGTTTTCTAGTGTGAGAAGCACGGTGGTTGTTTTTCTCACAGGTGGGAAATAACTTTGTGTTGATTAGTATGAGAGAGTTCTACCAGAGTTGTTCAGGATTTTTAGCTTTTGCCTTTCACTTGCTGAAGTGAACCATGTATTTCTTGCTCCATCCTTCATGGATTTTTTTCCCCTAAAAACCTCTACTAAATAGGAGAGGTTTCTAAAAACGCATTTTTCTGCAGAGGAACTGCATACCATGATACGGTTAATTTGTTTCCATCATTAGAGCTGTAGGTGTGTGCTCATGAACTTGAGCTAGAAATGTGATTTTTATCCTTCATTTCCTGTGGCAGTTGGAATTATTCTAATCTGTGGGAACTCTTGTCTATGTTTGTTTTTCTTGTGTTTAATAATTTGGCCTAGGAGTCTTCATTTGTTTTCAAGGATATATTTAGTCTTGTAGAAAGAGTTCGTTTCCCTCGTGAACCCCAAACCTGTTGACGGCCCAGGAACATGCATGGAGCACGGTGTGTGTGCCAGAGTACTTCCAGCATTACTTCATTTTTGTTAGGCTATATCTGCTGTTTCCTAAGAGATATATTACTTTAAAGGGTCATGCTATGACATTCCTTCCTCTAAAAAAATGCAGAATTCCCTGTGTAGTGTTGGTGAGTGTGAAAAGAGTGAGGCTTCTTATGGGTATATGTTCTTTGGATGAGATTTTTAGTGTGTAATTTAGTTTATCTTAGTGCATCTCCAGATTGCAGCTGGAACCTCAGCTAGGTGTTGGTATTTCTCCTATGATAATAAATACCACTTAAATCTCAATATTTGGATAATATTGGGTGGTGAGGAAGACTGATTTTTTGGAAGTCTTGACATGTTGTGATCCATTCAGCAAGTACGATATTTTGGCACGTATTTTGAGATAATGTTTTTCAAATGCTTTCAGACTCTCTGGTTTGTTGCCGTTAGGAAAATGGGATCTTTTTATACCATTACGAGCTGCATGCTCTTAATCTCGTGTAAAATTTGTTTATTGTGAAAACGTTCTCACTGTTCTGACAAAACTTCATTTGTTAAACAAAATTAGAAGCCAGATTTATCAGATACAGTTAAGCTTTGCATAAAATGATATTTATGATCTTTATAGTAGGTGACTTTCTGTTGGGTCCGCATGTTTATTAATAGGAGATGGCAAGGGCGAGTTAAACATTGGTATCTGCACCCCAGACATTGTGGTAAGATATAACAATCAAATTGAGCATGTTGTTCTCCCAGCAAAGAAGTATTAAACGTTAGTAACATCTCTTCTAATTCTTCTAATAAAAACACTGAGATCAAAGTTGTAGATAGAAGTGGGTATGTTTCCTGCGAAAGCACAACCGAACTCCCTTCAGCATCATTTTACGTTTGTTTGTTTTTTCCAATTTTGTATTTTGCGAGAGGAGTGTTGCAGCTAGCCTAGTTCGCTGTTCACTTGTCTCTCTGGAGGATTTCAGAGCTGCAGAGCTCAGCAGTCCTCTTTGCTTCTGGCTTGGCAGCAGGCTTGTCCCACGAATAGCCGTTCTGCAGCAGTGCTGGTTGGCTGGGCAAGGCTGGCTGAGTGACAAACCGACAGGGGACAGAATGCTGTGTTCCAGTCTGCAAGAGAGAGCTGTGCTTGGCTCTGTGCTGATGAGGAGAAATTGCTCAGGTGTTACAGATGGGCAAGGAATACTAAGATACAGGCGTTTGTACTCGGCAAGATAAAGAAACACTGGTTCACTGGAAAGCTGCTATTGTCAGCCTTCCCATGTTGATCGCATTTGGGGTTTCTAAGCCACGTGTTCCCAAGATTAGCCATTTTCTCTTTTGTGTGGGCTTGTGACACTTGTATTCCTTGAGCCAGTTAGAGTATCTGTTCCATTTTGATTTGATGAGGACTCGTTTTTGTCAGGTTGTGCGTGTAAATGCACTGTAGAATCATAGAATGATTTGGGTTGGAAGAGACCTCAACGACCATCTAGTTCAGCCCCGCTGCCATGGCCAGGACATCTCCAACTAGATCAGGTTGCTCAATGCTCCATCCAGCCTGGCCTTGAACACCTCCAGGGATGGAGCATCCACAACCTCCCCAGGCAACCTATTCCAGTCCCTCGCCACCCTCAGGGTTCAGAACTGCTTCCTTAGATCTAGTCTAAACCTACGCTCTTCCAGCTTCCACCCAGTGCCCCCACTCCCAGTACGAACTAGACAACCCTGCTTCTCTCACTCTGCAGACTTGTCCTGGCAGCCCACTAGAAGGTCTCCGCGGAGCCTTCTCTTTTCCAGGCTGAACAAGCCTAACTCTCTCAGCCTGTAGGAGAGATGTTCCAGCCCTCTGACCATCCTCTGGACGCGCTCCAACAGCTCCATGTCTTGCTTGTGTTGGGAGTTCCCGAGGTGGACGCAGTATTCTAGCTGAGATCTCACAAGGGCAGAGCAGAGGGGCAGGATCACCTCCCTCGACCTGCTGGTCACAAATTTCTTGATGCATCCCAGGATACGGCCGCAAGCACATGCTGTTGGCTCACGTTGATCGTATCATACACCAAATGCATGCTGTTTGATACCTTCATCCATGGCATTTAAATTGTGCAAGTTGAAACTGTAACTGTAAAATGAATGATGCTGGAATCTATTTAAGAAATGTGCTACATAAAAGATGTCAATATTACTAGCTTTGTGCATGGAAAAGGATAAAAAGGGCATGAGTTTTGCACGCTCACATCAGTAGTTTCTAAGGGTCTGATACCTTAGAAAAATTAAGGTAGGAGGCAGTTACTGGCCTGCAACTATCAAGTGGGTCAGGGCTATAACTAGAAGCCGAGATTTTTTTCTCAGTCTTTGTGGTGTGCTTTATGGTAGTGCTAGACTTTGAGATAGGATCTGTTTCTAAGGAGGGTTACTGAGTCTAAAAGCTTTCTGTTGTTAGTTGAAAGGCACTTAGTACCAGCTTCTGGTTTGGTAATAGCATGCTCTGACATTAATCTTACTCTGAATCTATTCTGTGTCTTTCATACAGTCATTATTTAGGATCTATGGCAAGAGACGATGTAGCTTGGCCCTCTGTTATGCAAAATCTGTGAAAATTGTGTCAAATGTAAAGAAATTCCATAAATTTTAGGGGTCTGGCTGGCAGCTGCTGCAGATGTTGAGTGCTGCTCACTTTGCGGTTCTCTGCCAGCTGAGATGAAGAGAAGCCCATTGCTAAGGCTGATTGGGAGAAACCTCAAGTTAATTATCGATTGTGTGCTTTCACTGATTTCAGCCCTGGAGTTTAGCTTTTATTTGGGTGAGAATTTCTTGTAACTTTTTGAGCTTTCACTTCAACAGGCTGTAATATTTTTCTTTTGAAGGGGGGCTAAAAATAATTTTAAAAGCTTTAAAGAAAGAATAAGTAGCTAATGGCCTTTCAGATTTTGGAAACTTGATATAGCACCTCTTGATGTCTAGGGATGCAGGTTTGACCACAGGCTGCCGTCTGTATTTTGGGAGGAGGATGAATGAGTTGTGCTATAAAGGGTGAAGTTTTTAAGGCCTTCACAGACTGCAGAAGAGTCCAGCTGTGGGGAGGTTGGGTATGGTTGAGCCGTGGATGACTCGGGAACATTTGGACCTTAGTTTCAAGGAAGGGCTGTGGGAGGGTGCAGGAGTACAGGGAGCGGAGCAGGAAGAGCCGCCTTCCAGGCCTTGATATGAATGATTCACTTGTGTTAAGAAATGTCTTGTTGTTGTCATCCCAACCCAGATACGAGTACCACTGGGCAGATGGGACAAACATAAAGAAACCAATTAAGTGCTCTGCACCAAAGTACATTGATTACCTGATGACTTGGGTCCAGGATCAGCTGGATGATGAAACGCTATTTCCTTCTAAAATAGGTAAAGTAAATAAGTAAAATAGAACCGATGTATTTGGATTGCAGTTGTGTAGAAATACAGAAATGTTAAAGCGTTAAAAGGTCTCCTAAATGACTGACGAAGTAGGACAAATTTAAAAGGTTACGTTTTGCATTTAAACGCACTTTGATCCTGTCAGATAAATTTTATGTGTTAATTTCTGAACTCTGATCCATGTGTTAGTACTCCTAATAAAGATCACTCACAATTCTGAAAGCATCAAGTACTGTTTCTGTTGAACAATTGTGTGGATTAAATCTGCTCTGTTTTAATTTTAAGCAGTGGGTTGTTTCCCTAGAAGTGAGGCAGAGGGTCTCAAAACCTTAAAACACCTGGATACAGACTGGTAGTTTTCTGATGCAAAACATTATTTGCTCTGCATGAGGAACTTCTCCTAGGCCTTACCTCCAAAGCAGCTGGGTTGCATCTTTGATCTCTAGTTAATGATTTTTTCTTCTTTTCAAGTGAAGATGAGAGATGTATGTTTTGAAGTGGTTTCTTCCAGAAAAGCACGAGGAAAGTAATCAACAACCACCAGTTTAGAACTGATAATGAGAAAAAAACCCTTCCTCAAGAGGCGTGAAGAACTGTTTCTTCTAAAGCTCCTAATTGGCAGTTTTCCAGTACACCACTACCCACAAGCTTAGAATCCGTTGTAGAAAAAGGAATGGAGTTTCTTAATTGCTTTTATTTTGTGAGCAGTTTCTGAAGCATTTGACCCATTTTCAAGAAGCCTTTTCAGAGAAACAGGGCTACCTGTCAGAATCAAGGAGCATTTTCTTTTCCCTTGTAGTTAAGCAGATGTAAGGCTGGTTAATTTGTGAGGAAGCAACAAAAAGCTAAGTCGTCCTTGCTCGATAGGTTTGAGCAGGGCTTATTTACATCCTGTGGCACTGAGTTTAGTGTTTAGAGTTGAGGTACAAGTCATAAGAGGAATTACAGTCAATAGCCACAGTTGAATTTGTTTTCAGAAGTCTAAAAATGAAATTCCCGTGCGATCTAGCAGCCAGTGAAGATGTGATGTACCTGTAAGCAGGGCAAGCTCAAGTAGGAGTATGAAAATGGGCTTGCTGGGGTTTTAAAGGATTGGTGAGAGCCTGCTTCTGGTCTGCGGCATCCAGCTGGTGCCTCTGGCCTTCAGACAGGACTTCAGCAACTGGAAAGACTGCAGAAGAACTAAGCTGGCTGGAAAACCGCTGTGTGATGTGTTAGGTGAAGAGATTATTGCTCCCCGTAGCCAGTCGTTCTTCCCTAAGCAATTTTCATAAAGCTTGTGCATTGACAACGATCTGCTCTTGCAACTGATTTTACGTGGCATTTTCAGTGAAATGACTGGGAAGAGCATGTTTCAGAGTTCTTCAGGAGGCAGTTAAGAAAGCAGTAGCCTATGGCTGAGGGCTGGTGATGAGCAGGGTGGAAACAGGAATCCTTTTGCTGGGCTGGAGACAGGTGGAATAGAGCCTATTTCTGATTTCCCTTCAGACAAGAGAAGTGTAGAACTGGCCGATACCAAAGGTGGTTTCAGTTTGATACACAAAGGTACGTGGTGTCCCTTGGAGTACCCTGTGGTCTCTTGGACACGCACATGGAGGCACTCGTAGCACTCAGACCTGCAGCAGGTGTTTTCCTTTTGCTGTGTTGGCAGTTGGAGGCCAGGCAGGTACTGAAAGGGCATCTGAAAGCACAGTAGATACCCGTGTTTGGATCTGAGTCCTGCCAGAAGGGAGGAAGGTTCTTAGAGGAGGCTCTTCAGGGAACTGTGTGGAGACATAAGAAGATGCAGTAGCTGGAAGCTGAAGCTAGTAGAGTTCAGTGTAGAAATGTAGTCAGGTTTGTCTTGGAAAAAGGTAGTGAGCCACTGGTCTGCTGAAAGGAGGAAAACCTCCCCCCTGGTTTATTCAGTGAGCTTATCGGTGTACTTCAGCCTAAGTACATGGTCTGGCTTACAAATGGAATTGCTGAGTGACACAGAAGAGCCCTTCTTGTGCAGGAGGTAGGGTTGGGTTATAATGGTTTTCAAAATACATCAGTGTAAGCCGTCTGCTTTCTTATTTCTAGGTGTACCGTTCCCAAAGAATTTCATGTCAGTGGCAAAGACAATTTTAAAGCGTCTCTTCAGAGTTTATGCTCACATTTATCACCAGCACTTTGATCCAGTGATCCAGCTGCAGGAAGAGGCACACCTTAACACTTCTTTCAAGCACTTTATATTCTTTGTTCAGGTAAGACTGGCAGGACCATTACAGTTACAGTTAGATTCTCGAGAAGGTATTGTATCGAAGCTCTTTTGGTTTCTTAACAGCTTGTGTATTTGTAGGAGAGTCAACACCTTCCAGGACCCTAAGATAGTATATTTACTACTAGGAATGGAAGATTTTCAAGAGTATTTGTTTATTGCAAAACTGAGTACTGAAATGTGTTCCCTCCCAAATAACTCGGTAGAACACAATTCCTAACAGAAGAGAGAGGACTGTATTGGAAGCTAGATGGAAAAGAGTTGTGCATCCTTCAACGCTATGATCCCTAACTCCCCTTACTTAAAAATAAAAGTTTTTCTTAGTGTTTCCTCTTTCTAGGCAGATGGAAAAAGCTGTAGGCAGTGAAACGCCGCCTTAGCTAAAGGGCTGACAGACATAAAATGCTGTAGTGGCTAAACCTGGACTCGAAGAGCCCGCTACTGAATAAATTCTATGTGGAAAACATTTCTGACCTGAGCTGCACTTATAAAATTCTGTATGTATGTCTTTCTCCTTGTCCTTGTTACAGGAATTCAACCTTATTGATAGAAGAGAACTTGCACCACTTCAAGAACTCATTGAAAAGCTCACCTCTAAGGACAGATAAAAGGAAGAGGGTTTCTTCAAGTCACTTGTTTCTTTGAGCAAGCGTGTGGTATTTGTTTTTTGTTAATTTTTTTTTTTAAAAAAAAACAAAACAAAATCCTATGCTGTTACTAATAACAGCCAAGATCTACTTTCTGTGCTTTTATTAGGGAAAAATCTTTTCTCTGTTAGTGACACGTGGTGAATAGCTTTTTTTTTTTTTTTTAAAATTGTTATTATTCATTGTGGAATTTTAGCAGGTGCTGAGTGTTTATAAAGGAAACATGCTTGGTTGAGGGATTGACTCTGCTGGTGGATGGGTTCTTGTATCGTGTCAGTGGTAGCCCATTCTCATGAAGTCCCTAAAAGACTCGCTTACATTCTCTTAAGTGCCTTGGCAGACTCACTTCTGAGGTGCAAAGCACATACAATACTGAACATTGCTGGAAATAGAAAATACAAACTAACACCCAGGACACTTACTGATACTTGTTTTAGAAAAATATATATATGCTTACACTAAAAAAAAAAGCCATAACTTACTGAAGTCCATGATCTCCAGCTTTTAATACAAATATTTGTCTTATTTTTGTAGAGATTAATGTAGAATTTTTCAAAATAGATATTTCTTATAAAGAAAAGTGATGGTGAAGTTCTAGTCGCTCAAATGAAACAATGAAGCTCGTGTCAAAATTATGAAGAACCTGTGCTTAGCAAGTAGTTAAAGGTCTGTTGCCATCGGTTCTGGCTTTTCATAGTCAGTTTTATTTTTTTAGCAGGGAAGCGTCAACTTGGGTCAGTCACTTTTGTTAAGTTTCCTAGCATTTGCCAAATGAACTGTTAGTTTGCACAAATACAGTTAGGGAAATATGTAAAAAGTGTAAAAAAAAAAAATGCACTGGGGTAATACTAAGAAAAATTCTGGCTTAAAAAATAACTCGTGAAATTTTCTAAGTTAGGAATAAAAAGCCTGGCTCTGTGGAGGAGCTGGGGAGCGCCAGTGTTTTCTGTGGTAGGACATGTGTCTTGGAATATAATTTCATGGACCACTTCTGGATTTTTGTTAGCGTGATGGTGTTGTCCCCCATTTACAATTGCAGCTCATCCCCAAGCAACTACAGCAGTTGGGAAAAGTTCCAGGAACATACTGGTGAATTTTTTGTGGTTTGTCATTTGCTAAGTGCATCTTCCATTTCTGAGAAGACTTAAATCAAAATGTGGCCTTCCCCCACTTGGGTTAGTGTCTTTGCCTCTCTAGCCTTGTGTTTTCTCAAACCAGAAATGAGAATCGCCTGCGAGAAGTTCAACCTCACGCGGTCAGCGTCCACCTGACTATGCAAAAGCAGCTCAGCTCCCAAATTCGAACCGCATGATTTCAAACAGGCTCCAGTCGTGCAGGAAGCTGAATTTAAGAATGCAGTCTTACACACACAACCTTTTTATGTGTGTTTCTATCAGAGGAGCACTTAATGACTGGAAGTTTCCAGCGATAGAAGAATGAAGAGCGCTGCAGGTGCAGTTTGATATAAAAAAAAATAATCTTAGAAACCTTCCAGTGAAAAGAGCTTTGCTGAGTCGAGTCAGTGCTGCTCGAGAGGCTGCGTGTGTGTGTTCATGGAGCCTTTGAACCAGTGCTAGAACTCCTGTTATCGCCTCGCAGCAAGATGCGAGAGCGAGAAGGGCGGAAGCCTGCTCCAAGGTGCTAAATAGGAGATATTCTCCATTAGATTTAAAGCTGTCTCCTTGGCTTGGTGTCATGCACCAGCAACAAAGGCAAAATAAAAGTATTTAGATGTGAGGATTTGCTCGGAGGGATAGCAGTGCAGTACTTCTCATTTTTGGCATACTTGTGCTCTGGAAGGTTATTTTGTTGTTTTTTGGATTTTTTTTCTTAAATAGCCAATTCTAAATATTCCGAGACGTCTGTTTCAGTTCAGCCAATCAGAATTAGAATGTATTCTGTAAGAAAATTAGTCCTATGTGGAGAGTGTGTTTTTTGTATTCAGTATCTGGCAGTAGAGAACGCTTTGACAGAATAGTTTCTAGGCATGTAATAAAAGCTTGGAGATCATGATTTGCCTGACAGCTGTATGAACACATTGTTTAATTACACAACACTTGAAAATAACAACGTTAAAGATATGGATGCAGTGTTTGGGATTTATTATCCCTATGCTGTTTATATTTGCAGCTTTTAATTGTTTTTTTTCTTTTTTGCTTCAAAAAGAAGTGGGACCAGACGTTGATGTGTGTTTACACTCTTGAAGTAAGGGCACATTGAAAATGCTAAACAAGTTGCCATGTTGTACAAACGGGATCTGGATCGAGTGAATGTGTTTTATAAAATAGTGCATTTGTTGGGTTGAAGGGCAAGGACACCCCCTTGCCCCCCAAATAAACCCCAGAGAAACCCCAAACGAACCCTGCGCTGCTCTAGGCCCACGTTACAGATGGACTCTAAGTATCACGAGACAAAAACTTTCAGCTTCGTCGTCATCGGAAGTGGAAGGTGCTGGTGGCATTATCCCAGGCTGGGCTGTTGGTGCTGGCTGAAGCCTTCCAGTGGAAAGGGGCCCTTAAATTCTGCGCTGGGTGATGTTTTTCAGACCACGTCAGTGATTGGGGTGGTGACTTGAGGAGGTCATCTGCCTAGAGATGGGATGGAGCAAGCTCTGCTGAGATGGTCAAGTTCCGCCAGATTTGCCAGTGTTGATGCCGTTTAGATTGTGTGGATACATTAGGTTGGCAGAAATAATTTCTGAAGTCTTTCAAATTCAAGGCAGGGATACAAGTTAATCCTCCGGCCAGCAAATAAAAATGCCACGTGGTGCTGTTGCAGGGAGCTTAATGGTAGATGAAGGGAGAAAACAGGTTTCTAGGGGCAGATGGCCCGTCTGCAAGCATCAGCTTTCTTTTACTGCTTACTATGCAATGTAGAGCTTTGAACTTTTGCTTTTACTGTAAGATAGAGAGGAGCACTGTCCTTACTCAGTATTTAGGAACTGAACATTCTCCCAGTCTCCCTGACACTCATTTAACAGGTAAGGATACCTATTTGCTGCTATGGACTTTATTTACCTTTCAGATTGTTCCTTTCCATTTCTTGTCCCCTCTCCCTTTTCTCTTCAATAGCCAGACACAATTTTAATACAAAAACATCCTTTTTGGATGGTTGGTTTTTTTTCTTGCTGCCCTCTTGCCCCGCTTCCTACCTGCTAGAGTGCTGTATTACTGTGTATAAGATGCCCCCTTTTAGTTGGACTATTTAAAAAGCTGCAGCACAAACACGGACTCCTTGCTTTTCTTTCACTAAAAGATTCCCTGGTACACTGAATCTCGTTTCCTTCACTGCTGGTATTGGTTGTCTATTTTCCAGACTGCACTACTAAAACCACTAGCAGTTTCATGGATGCCTGTCGTCTTTTCCTGGATATCTTTTCTTTTAAGATGAGACTAACGTAGGTTATTTTAAGTGTTAAACCTTTTTTATTTTTCTGCTTTTCTTACAATTTCCTCTTGCCGGGTTAAGATTGCAGTCTAGGTAAATATCAAATTTTGTTTGAAGAACCGATTCCCTAAATTGTTCATAGAGTATTGTATTTTTAGGGGAAATTAATTTTTATAGCCACTAAACTATACTCATTATTTTTGTACGTTTGCAACTTATGACATTTTTCAGAGACGTGTCGCGGAGGGAACGCTTATTTTCATGGCTGTTTTACTATTTCAGCGTGCTGTGGTTGTGTTGCTTAGTACCTAGAGGCACATACTCTGATGTGCAATGGACAAGTGAAGAAAGCAATAAAAGTGAACGAGGTTTGAATAAAAGGCTGTTTTTGAGGGGAAAGAAACGAATTAGGAAAGCAACACTAACCTTTCCTCTTCCTTTAGAATCCTAAAATATAAGGGAGAAAATGTGGTGTAAAAAGTAAATTGCAAGATGAGAACCCTTACTCTAAGCTAACTGTGCCAATATTGCTTCAGTTTGTAGTCACTGATTGATATATTAGGTTTAAAAGAGAACAGCTTTTGATGAAAGAAAAAAAAACAAACGTTGAATGTCTGAACATTGCAACATGTTTATTTGAGAGTTGTAAATAATGTATACAGATTGTTGTATGTGATGGGACAGAATATTTAAATTCTAGGTTTTTTTCAATAAGAAACTGAAGGCTGTTTATAAGAGAAAATAAATAGCTATGTTTGACCATGATTGTCTTGATTTCCTTCTTGAACTTGGTTCTAAATTAACTTCTGCTTGTAGATAGTTTGGGGTTTTTTTCCTGTATATTGTCCACATACGAACATGACACATACAAATTAGATTTTTGTAACTGCCTTGTCTCAATTTGTGAATATTTGTATTGCGGGCAGACACAACAGCAATAAAACAACCCGATAGCCTTTTCATTTCCTTGCTTCACGACCTGAGTTTACCCAGCGTGGCCAGAGCTTTGGGGTGGCATTTCCCATGAGTTTAGCGTCGCATTCACTGCACCTCGCTGTGATTTTTGTTCTGTCCCAGCCGTAGCGCTCCCCTGGCACAGGTCA